GTGGTAGTGCAAGGCGATAGGCTACAGGACCAATCCTTTCCAGTATCTCGAATGGCCCGATGTAATGTGGGTTTAACTTTCCTCGCTTTCCAAATCGAATAACCCCTTTTGTTGGTGAGATCTTGAGGAACACATGATCCCCTATTTGAAATTCCAAGTCCCGCCCCGTGTATATGCATTACTTTTCTGGCCGCTCTGAGTAGTGCAAATTTGTTGTTGGATGAGTTGGATTTTCTCACTTGTGACTTGCACGATCTCAGGGCCTAACAGTTTCCTATCTCTGATTTCTGCCCAACACAGAGATGATCAACACCTCCTTCCATACAAAGCTTCATACGGTGCCATTTCAATGCTTGCTTGGTAACTGTTGTTATAGGCGAATTCCACTAAAGGTAAGTGCTCATCCAAGTTACCTTTGAGGTCGAACAAACTTACACGTAACATGTCTTCCAATGTCTGGATTGTTCTTTTGGATTGTCCATCAGTTTGCGGGTGATAAGCAGTGCTAAACTTCAGTGTGGTTCCCAAAGCTTCTTGCAATTTGTTCCAAAAGTGAGATACGAAGCGGGGGTCTCGGTCAGACACGATTGAAACTGGGATACCATGCAAACAAATAATTTCCTTGATGTATAAAGTGACCAACTTATTAAGGGAGTACATGATTTTGATTGGTAGAAAATACGCCGACTTCGTCAATCGGTCTACTATAACCCATATTGCATCCTTCTTCAAAAATTACTGTGGTAGCCCGACCACGAAGTCCATAGTGATGTGTTCCCATTTCCATTCAGGAATAGGGAGTGGTTACAGCAGTCCTGCAGGTCTCTGATGTTTTACTTTAACATGCTGACAATGCAGACATTTAGAAATATGGCTTGCTATTTCTCTTTTCATTCCTGTCCACCAGTAGTGTTCTTTTAGATCATGGTACATCTTGGTGTTGCCAGGGTGGACTGCAAATCTCGAGCTATGAGCTTTCACCAATACCATCTTCTTGAGTTCCAGAATATCGGGTATGCAAATTCGATTCTGAAATTTTAGTATCCCATTGCTTATAGTGAAATCAGGATCAGACGTACTCCTTTGCTCATTGTACTTTTCCTTCAAAAGTTTATCTTCACATTGGCATGCTTTAATTTCTTCAATCAATGCAGGTTCCATGGTTACATTGGCGAGCAGCCCATTGATCTTGTGGGAAATGAGAGTACATGCCAAACCTCTAGTCGTCTTTCGACTTAGTGCGTCTGCCACCACGTTAGCTTTGCCCGGATGGTGATGGATCTCTATATCATAGTCTTTCATAAATTCTAGCCACCGCCGTTGTCTCATATTTAATTCCTTCTGTGTGAACAGATATTTAAGACTCTTACGATCAATGTAAATCTTACAGGTTGCACCGTAGAGATAATGACACCAGATTTTGAGGGCAAAGATTACCACAGCCAATTCTAAATCATGAGTCGGGTAGTTCTTCTCGTGAGTCTTTAATTGTCGCGAATCATAAGTAATGACTTTTCCATTTTTCATGATAACGCAACCCAAACCATTGTATGAGGCATCACTATAAATTACGAACCCATCTGCTCCTATAGAGAGTGCTAGTATAGGGGCTGACACAAGTCAATTTTTTAATTCTTGAAAGCAATGCTCTTGTTTGTCAGTCCATTCAAATAGTGTGTTCTTCTGAGTTAGATGGGTTAAAGGTGATGCTATTTTTGAGAAATCTTGCACAAAACATCGGTAGAAACCAGCTAGACCCAAGAAACTTCGGATTTCTGACACATTAGTAGGTCGTGGCCAGGCCACGATTGCTGCAACTTTTTGGAGGTCAACCGAGATTCCATCTTTGTTAATGACGTGACTGAGAAAGTGTACACTAGTGATCCAGAATTCGCATTTCTTCAACTTGGCATAAAGTTTGTGATCATGTAGTGTTTGTAGAACCATTCGCAAGTGCTGCTCATGGGCCTCTGGTGACTTGGAGTATATGAGGATGTCGTTAATGAAGATGATGACGAACTCATCAAGATAGGGTTTGAACACTCAGTTCATGAGGTCCATGAAGGCTGCTGGGACATTTGTGACGCCAAAAGGCATGACAAGAAACTCGTAGTGCCCGTAACGGGTTCTGAAGGCAGTCTTTTCGATACTTTCCGTTTTGACTTTTAGTTGATGGTAGCCAGAACACAAGTCGATTTTAGAGAATACTTAGGTACCTTGAAGTTGATCGAATAAGTCGTCGATTCGTGATAGAGGGTACCGATTCTTAATGGTGACCTTATTCAGCTCCCGATAATCGATGCATAATCTCATTGTGCCATCCTTTTTCTTTACGAACAATACTAGAGCTCCCCTGGGTGAGGTACTAGGTCGAATGAAACCTTTGTCCAGTAGTTCCTGGAGTTGAGTCTTCAGCTCTTTCAATTCTGTCATCGACATGTGATAAGGAGTTTTTGATATTGGTTGTGTGCCAGGTTGAGTTTCAATGGTGAATTCAATTTCCAGATCAACTGGGATACCAAGTAGATCTTCAAGAAAAACATCCGGGAATTCTTGTACTACAGGGATCACATCCATGGTGGGGGCCTCTTTTTGTGTATCAATCAGATAAAAAATATAACTACCACAACCCTTTCTTAGAAGTCGTTGGGCTGTCATGGAGGATATAATACAGGGAGGGTTGGAAACTCCAGTTCCATCCAAGACAAGCTCGGGTTGGTTTGGTAACCTGAGAGAGACGTTTTTGGCTTTACAATCAATAGAGGCGTGGTTAGCAGTCAGCCAATCCATACCTAAGATGATGTCAAAGTTCCCAATGCAGAGGGGAATCAAGTCTGCATATAAGGTTTTGCCTTTTAAGGATATAGTACATGATTTGTACATATCAGTACTGCAAGCAAACTTACCAGAAGGAAAAGACACAGACAATATATATCCTAATGGTTCGGGTGTTGATGCCAACTTGGCAGCAAAGTGTGGTGCAACAAAAGAATAAGTTGATCCAGAGTCAATGAGAACATGAGCAAAATGACCATAGATAGAAAGTATACCTGACACAACGTTTTTGGTAACTCCTAGTTTTCCAGGTACCAAGGAAAAAACCCGTCCTTGGCGTTTTTGGTCCTTCCTCTCTCCTACAGGTCCTTCGGGTTTTTTGACTGGGCCAGAGGGGCTATGTTAGACTTATTTATTTTGATGATTTATTTAATTATGTTTTTAATTTATTTGGAAGAGAAAAATATAATCAAAATTTATTTTGATGATTTATTTGAAAGAGAAAAATAGAATCAACATTTATTTTGATGATTTTATGTTTTAATTTATTTGAAAGAGAAAAATATAATCAAAATTTATTTTGTCCCATTATTTCCTACCTAAAAATTTTATCCTAAATGTTGTTAGAATGTATTTAATATTTGATTAAATCAGGAGTTCAAACAGTCCAAAACAGAGGTTCAAACAGCTCAAAAATAGAGGTTCAAACAGCCTAGCACAGTAGCAGTTCAAAAGGTTCAAGTAGAAGATATTCAAATTTGTAATGATGGACTGGAAGATATTCAAATTTGTAATGATGGAGTAGAAGATATTCAAATTAGTAATGATAGAATGGAAGATATTCAAATGAATACAACGGCTATAAACGGTTATGAATTCAAATGAATACAACGGCTATAAATAGTTATAAGTTTCATTATATATACCAAAGCCTCTGATGTGAACAAGTTACAGAAACCAGAAAATATTCTTTGATCTAAAATTCCTCTCATCTATTCTCTGAAATTTTTTCTGAGAAGTGTTCTTCAATTTTTGTTTACATCTCCTCTCAGAAATTATACATTAAGTTGTATAGCTTTAAGCCCATCTTTCCTGTGTGAGGTTTACAGAAAAATCAGAGCTTCATTTTTATATCTATCTTTGAGAGATAATTCTTGTAGCTTTCTGTGAAAGCAAAAACACCTTCTTTTCAACCTTGTAAGAGTGTAGTACACTCAGTGTTCTTGACTTAGAAAGTCTGTGTAAAATCTGTGGAGGATTGCTCCATCTGTGAAAAGATTGCTAGCACCCTGTGAAGCTAGAGTATAGTGGAAAATCTCAAGTGAAGCTTGAGGAGTGGACGTAGGCCGAGTTGAAGTCGAACAACTATAAATTTGTTTGCCTTTCTCTCCCTTATCTCTTTATTTTATTTAAATTGCCATAGCTATATTTCATATTTTTATTGTTCTAAAATCATTAATTGACATAGTTGTTAGAACACTTGTTTTAATTATTTTTATTTCATTAATTATATTTATCTATTATGCTAGTCATAATTTTTATTAGGGTATTATTTTTTTTATTTGTAAAAACCTAATTCACCTTCCCTCTTAGGTTGTCTTTTGGGTAACAGGCTGGTTGTAGGATTGGTCAGCTTTGGACAATCCCTCAGCAAGTGGTCAACTTGACCACATTTAAAACATGCTTCCGTGTCTCGATGGCATTGTCCTCAATGAGATTTCCCACAAGTGGGACAAATTGAAATAGTGCCACCTCGGGGGTTGGTAGGACCTTGATGGCCTGAACTGGTTGTGCCCCGTATTCACATTTTTAGGAGGCGTAACACCAGGTCTTTTGTTGTCTCTTTCCCAGAATCGCTTCTTTTGGCTTGGTTTCCCGGAATGCGAGGCTTTAATCCCCTTTTCTGTAATGTACGCCCGGTTTACCACTTCTGCATAGGTTGGCAGTTTCAAGACCTAAAGCCTATCTTTAATTTCAGCATCCAATCCTGCTTCAAATTTTCTTGCTTTTTGAGTTTCAGTGGGGATGACGTATGTCACAAATCGAGCGAGTTGTGTGAACTTGCTCTCGTATTCGGCCACCGTCATGGTTCCCTACTTAAGATGTATGAATTCTGATGCCTTCTGTTCACACAATGAATTTGGGAAGTATTTTTCGTAAAATAATTCCAAGAATCTTGCCCAAGTCACAATTTCTTCTTTCTCCAGAGTGAGAAGCCACTATTCCTATGCATTGTCTTTGAAAGTGAAAATGGCGAAAGTTACCTTCTGTCTTTCGATACAGGGTAGGGCGTGAAAAATATTTTCCATGTCTTTAACCCAAGCCTCTGCTACCATTGGGTCTGGGTCACCGGTAAATGTGGTAGTGGGTTTCAGATCCTGGAACTGTTTTATGGTAACCGGCTCTTCTCGCCGTTCCGGCATCCCATTGATGATGTTAGTCTGCAAGGCTTGCAAAAAGTTAGTAACCGTTCTTTCCATTATTCTTTCCATCGATTCTGTGCCACTGACTGATGACACACTTCCGTTACCATTATTGACCATTCTACAAAGTAATAAACGAGGCATTACATTTATAATGCAGCATATATATATAAACAGGTGTAGCGCAATCTATATCCATATAAAATATCAACTTTACTATTTTTACAATTAATATTACGTCTTTGTTTCAAAAGTCAGAATATGTTAGTGTCTCATCCTTGTGGTAAACAAAAACAAAACGACAACAAAAAGGAATTAGAACACATCATGATCAACATACAAAAAGGTTTTCTTCTACCAAATCTAGAGTGGTGGGTCAAATGGGCCAAACAACCACGGGAAATAGTGTTGCATAAAAAGCTCAAATTCCCATCCTAACTAGACTACACCAAAGCACATCCACGCTGCCTGAATTGTAAAAATGGGGATGGACTGTATATATCCTAAAAATACTCGATCAACAATCTAGCCGAGTGTCTTGACATATGACAAGTCATTATTAAAGTCAACATTTTGAATATTAATTATTTCCAGCGGGTTAGGGACAGTGGTGAAAATATAGTCCTTGGGGTACACGTTCCCCTTTCTGGCCACAAAATCTAGGGGTAAAGGGCCTATGATGTAGTGCGGGCGGTCATGTCCCAGGGCAACGCCGAGGACACGAGTGTGTCCAAGAAAACGTCTGTGCGTATAGGCACGGCTCTGCCTCCATAGTAAATATGGGACATCAGTAGGATCAGCCTGTATATAGATTGGCCGACCCATCAATTGGGCAAGGCCTGGATGCAGTCTTCTAATTATATCCTCTGAATCTCCTCAACCCTCAGGTGAGGCGGGGGCGGGATGCTCTGCTAAAATCTCATCTAAATTAATGGCCCCGAGCTCATCCCAGAACGCATCATCAAGGTTAATCTCAGACATTCCTACATCACCAGAATAAACGTGAGATTTTACACAAAATGACTAACGTTGTAGGTAAATATTTATTATTTTATTTTATTCTATTATGTTTATCTAGTTATATAGTTTTATTTATAAAATTGTTTATAACTTTTCGAACTTTCTGATCAAATTAAAATAGTATTTTTTTTTGAACCATTGCTCTGATACCACCTTTGTCACGACCCAACCCCAGGGGATTAGGATTGAAATCGCAACTTACTAACTCATTCTATTCGTAGCAAATTAAACTGCGCAAGTAGAAATAAAAATAATTAAACCGGATATTACTCCATTTTACTATTTTAATAAGAGAAAATACATCTATAGGGCTTTTATTATTTTATTATTCAGTGACTGGCCCCGAGTAGAAACAAAAAGGAGCAAAAATATTTATAAAAAAGAAAAAGAAAAGAAAGACAAAGTAGTGGTTCAACATCAATACTTGTGCGGGTTCCATTACGTGAGGTTATGGGTTTCCCCTACATCTCATCACCTGAAAGGGTAACAGCTATAAGCACACAGCAGAGTGAGAAATATTATGCCAAGAGTATAGGGAATACAATATAATCATGGATAGTTAGTTAGGCCAAAACATTTACAAAACTCAATTTGGTAAATAAATCATTTAAGTGGCAGAAACTGAAATACAGAAATTATGTAAACAAATAACCATAACTACGGTACAGAACAGAACATGACAGAGGTCAATGGATCCATGACAAACAGAGGACCACAAAGTGGCCAAACAAAGGCCAATGGTTATTTAAGTCTCCCAAGGCGTGGGACTCCCGTGGTGGTACTTACAAAACATAATTGTTTATGAGGTCATTGTCAAATACTTTCTAAAACTTAAACAAACATATCTATGGGTTTTATTTTAAACGGTAGAGTTCAGAAAATAACCACGTAATTAAAATATTAATATAATTTATAAAACATAACTTGTATAAAATAAATTATAGTAAATCAAAACATACGTAAATATATTATAGTGACTCAAGCTATAATATAACTCACCTTAATATTGACCCTTACTATTTCCTTTGATTTTTCAGTCTTTCCCTTACTCACTCTTCTACCGCAGCCCTTTTCTCTTGGTTTTTTTTTTGTTCTTTTTTCTACTAGTACCAACATCACAGCCCCCTTCTATTTATATACCAAGTTGGGTGATGACTCACCATTTACTTAATGACCCTAAGCGATGACTCACCACCCCTAGATGTACAGATGGCTCCACCTCACTACCTTAGTAATATTTGCAAATCCTTTCATTTAACAACAAATCTTGAAATAGATTTTTACTTCATTTGGCTAATTAATTCTATACCTTCCAATCTTCTTACACTAATTAGCGATTAATTTAGCCCCCAAATAATTCTCTTCATCACATATTTGATAATCACAATAGTAAATTAATTTACATGGCACGTATAGCTTAGCTATTTTATTATTGTTATTATTATTAATCTATTTATTTATATTGTTATTATTATTAATCTATTTATTTATTAAATAATATATTATCACATACAACCATAATTATATATAACTATAAATATTTATGTGGTATTTAATTAAATACTTAGGGTGTCACATATTTCCTGTTATGAAATGAGTACATACATATATGAGAATGAATAAATGACACCAAGAATAGTCTTTCATAAAAGACATTATCATTGGACCTCTTTATACTCTTCACTTAAAGGATTATGTTAAACTAGTTGCTAGTGTTATAGTACATGGAAGGGACTACATCGCACTATTGGTGTAGAACCGCCATGGCTCATATTAGGGAACTATTTAATTATAGCATTATGATTATGACCAAATTAAAGGTAATATTGAATATGATTTATTGCGAGCCTAATGTTAACCTTGTTAAATCTTGACGTAAGTTCTCATATGGGCCAAGTGGGAGAATGTAAGACTAAATTATTTATGGGAAACTGACCCAAAAGTCCAAGCCTAACATATCATGCCCCATTTAGCCCCAAAACAAATTTAATACTCCATTAAGTCCTCAAATTATCAATCAAACGAAAATACCCACACTATATCATCCAATTTACACGCGCGTAACCTTCACCCACGATCATCTCAGTCTGATTAGTACGCTGTCACATCTCCGCCGTTCAACTCTGCATTCTTAGTGCTCCATCTCTCCACCGTTCGACTCCACTCCCTCTGAAACCCTACCCTAACCACAAAACAAACCCGCTCATCTTCTCCAATCATCGACTCTTACCAACACATCACCAAGCCATTCATCTTCTCCAATCGACGACTCTCAACAACACGAAGAACTATCACCACTCTGAAGGAATTTCATAATTCCTGACTTCCGATTCACAGAAATGGCGAAAAAAGTAACATCTCTCTTCACCTATTATTTTTCATTCAAATTTGTACATTATTCTTTCATATTTCATATATACCGTTTCAATAACACTTTCATAAACAAACCCTTGTAAAACACATTTTACATACTTCAAAATGTATAAACCCTCTTTTATATATAATTCCCTATTTTAAAACATTCTAGTCCCCTATTTTTAAACATTCTAATCCACTGTTTTTACACATAAATCCCTATTTTTACACATTCAACTCCTTGTTCTTGTCCTTGTTCTTGTTCTTGTTCTTGTTCTTGTTGTTCTTGCTTCTTCTTGTTGTTAAATAATGGCTTTTCTTCTTCGTATTGTTGCTACATTTCGTTGAATACTTAATCTTCTCGTTGTTATTGTTGTTGTTTACAAAATACAATGGGCTATTCTTATTGTTGATGCTGTTTATAAAAACTGAAACATCAGACAGTTTCATTTCATCACTCTACAAGTAACATATCTAAATTTATTCAAACTGCAAATAAAATTGTAAAATTACACAGTTTAATCACTACTCAAAACAAATAGGTAACTTATTATAAAGTGCAAATAAAACTGTCAAATTATGCAGTTTTGTAACTGTTAACAACAAATAGATATAACTTCATATTAAACCGCAAATAAACTGCAAAATTATACAGTTTTGTCACTATATTACTCATGTCCTGCTGTCGCTTTCATTTTTTCAGAAATAGCTATTGGAAGATATTGGAAGAAACAAACTCATATGCCCAAAAATCCATTCAGGGATTTAAGTATCTCCCCTTTTGAAAGTCCTTCTCCTGTATCTACTGAAATGCCACCAAAATCTCCCGCTCCACAAAAAACCCAACAACCACAACCAAAAATAACCAAAAAAATCCACAAAACAACCACACCACCTACAAGAAAAAGCCCAAGAACTACACCACAGACGCCACCCACACAACAAACACCAATCACACCTCCAACCACAAAAAAAAAAAAAAAAAAAAAAAAAAAAAAAAAAAAAAAAAAAAAATCACACCTCCAACCACAAAAAAAAAAAAAAAAACAAGCAAACAAACAAAAGAAAGCCAATAAAAAACAAGCTCCTCCAACCAAAAAAAGAAAGCTCCAAGAAAGCTAATCAACTCCCAAAACAAAAACCAAGCCATCAAAAGGGAAAAAAGGAGCAGTCCCTGCAAAGAGAGTCCAATAGTTTAATTACCATTCCAACATCAAAACAGTAATCAAACTGTTGAAGAGGGCCAAATTCACAAAAGCCCAACAGACAGAGCTGCAAAAAACCCCTTTTTGGCCCATTATAAATGCTCTCTCCTTAACACAACTGAAGGCCTCTTGGTGCAGATGCTACAATTCTATTGTAGCAGAAATGACAACACTCCACAACAAAAGAAAAAGAGCATTTATACTTGGCAAAAAGGAAATGAAACTCAGAAACAGTGATGCCAGGCTCATTTTTGGTATCGACTGTGGAGAAGACAGCATCACCACCAAATCCTATGCAAGACCAAAGGATTTTGAGCTTGCATTTTTTAAACAAAGATGCAAATCAGTAAACAGATTGGATGGCAAGTCATTAACCAAAATGTTTCAACAAACAAAAAAAGGAAAATCAATCAATGATCGTCAAGATCTTGCAAGGGTTATCACCCTTTACTTGTGCTTGAAACTTCTCATGCCTACAACAGGCTATACACTCAGTTGGAGTTTCCTCAACTATGTTGACAATCTCAACAGCATTAAGAAGTACAATTGGGTTGAGGCAATAAAAGACACACTCATGAATTCAACGGCAAATGCAAACAACAACCCAAGGCATGTTACTGGATGCACCATGTTACTCTTGGTAAACACACTACTCAACTACTTCACACAAAAATATCAAACATACACCTATTTCGAACTATCTAACATATTTCAATTTTTTTTTACTGTACTGGTACTGTGAGCACAGTAAACTCCTCCGACCATCCAACAAAGAAGGCTTCCCAAGGTTTATGAAGTGGAACCTTGGCAAAATGTACTCCAAGTGGAAACACATCAGCCTTGTTGACTTTGAAAAGGTATTCAAACTCTTCTATACTCTCATAGCACAAATATATTCAACAGTCCTTTCACAGTCATTATAGTAAAAATCATGTTATGAAACTGTAAAAATTTTCAGTTTCAAACAACATATATTCAACATTTAACTCACATTATTCACAATACAAATCATATTATGAAACTGTAAAAGTTTGCAGTTTCAAAGCACACACATATTTAACATCACTCATGTTATGAAACTGCAAAAGTTTATAGTTTAAACACACAAATCTATTTAACATTACTCATGTTATGAAACTGTAAAAGTTTTCAGTTTCAAACAACATATTTCAACACTTAACTCACATTACTCACAGTACAACTCATGTTATGAAACTGACCAATTTTACAGTATTACTGATATATGCCACATTGTTCCAATGCAGGTTGACCAAAGTGCTTTAACCCCAACTGAACAAGAAATACAGTTATTGCATATCAATCAAAGTACATTAATAGACTCTTCAACAAAGAAACATGACCACAAAAGGGACAATAAGCGAAAAAAACAAACAAAAGTAACAAAAAAAAGAAGACTTCTAGATAGTGATGAAGATGACTTTCTCGAAAAAGAACATCAATCAGAATTAGAATCAGAACAAGAAGAACAAAAAAAAAAGAAAGCAAGAACCACAAGAAGAACTAGAAAGTAATGAACTCGGAAGAGAGTGATGATTAAAAAAAACAAGTGACTGATGAAGAAGAAGAAGAAGAAGCTGATGAACAACAAGACAATGATGAAGAAGAACAACAAAAAGAAGAAGAAGGTGATCAACAAGAAGACACTGATGAAGAAGAAGGCCAACAACAAGAACAAGAAGAACAACAAACAAACCAACAACAAGAAGTCAATGAACAAGAACTAGAACTAACAGACCAACAACAACAACATGAAAAAAAAGAACAAGCAAAACAACAAGAAGAACAAAGGATAGAACAACAAGAAGAACTCCAAGAGAAATCTAACACATTTCATGCACGAGGTAAACTCTTGTCTAATACTGAAGCAAACTGGAAAATTTAATTAAACGAACCAAAACACAATCCAACATTTTTATAGGTCATGACCAAGCACAAACATCAACCAAAAAGGATGACAACGACAAGTTCATATCATCCATGAGAGTACAAATGCAAGAAATGGAACAAAAATTCATGGCTGAATTGCGTAGAAAAGAAGATCAATTGAAGGAAATGTCTGCCAAAAAAACTAGCAGTCCCCAACAAAGATCAATGGTCAAGAGAATCAAAGAAAAGTCAAGAAAACAAGCACATGACCTAGATTTTGAATACCAACCAATGACAAAAGCCAAAGAAGACACAAAGAACAAGACAGAAACTACTGCTGATGTACCCAAACCAACACAGGGTACCAATGAAGAAAAAGAGAAGAAGAATGAAAAGAAAAAAAAAAGAAATTGAAACAGAGAGAGAACCTACTACTGAATCCGAGCAAAAAGAGGGTGCTCATGAAGCAAAACAGCAGCAGAAAAAAAAGATGCAAGAAGATATTGGCCAAGAGAAAGAAGGTGCTGCTGAAACCAACCCAAAAGAGGATGCCAATCAAGAGAAGACACAAGTTCAAGTATTGGAAAGTGATGATGATTTCAAGGAAGAATCAATCCAAAACAAACCACTCGCCATTTCGTGCCACAAAACAAACAAGGTTTGGCATAGCCTATCCAAAAAACACCAAGACCAAATTCAACTCATCAACAACACATAATCAACTGCTTGTGTCTGGTTTGGCAACGAAGATGAAAATTGCATATACTTTTCAAATATATGCAGATTGACCAACAAAGAAGCCTTGTATGGGAATGTAGGTCTCCAACTGCACAATTTTACAGTTTCTGTTCATATTCAATAATCTATTCCACAAACCTAATACATTTTCATATATAACATGTTTCAAGTCATTGATGCCTTCTCTGAAATGAAATTGGCACTCCAACCATCCATTGAAGAATTTGAGAAACATGATCTAGCCTTTGCAAGAAATCCATACGCAGGAAGATCTTACGTTTTCTCAACACTCATCAATGTAAGCAAAACTTAACACACCTTTCAATATTATTCAAACTATAAAATTTTCTACTTTCTTAACATGTCTTACTACATAGTTTTATAACATATTTCAAACATATATATAAATTACAGACTCCACTACAAACCCAAGATCAAGCACTGAGAGAAAAAATGATGGACATCCATTTCCAGAAGTAATGAAAAACAGATATATCTATTTCCCAATCAACTACGACAACCATTGGACAATTGTGGTCTTTGACAATACTGATGGGATATGGAGACACTATGACTCTTTGAGACCAGTAAAAGATTGCCACAACAAGCACTTTAAAATTGCAAAGGAAATTGTAAGTTAAATAAAATTTCCTACTTAGTTCCATTCCTTTCAAAACATCTCAACACATCACTATAACTAACAAAAACACTCACTAACTATTTTGTAGCAACAACATCAACTAAGATGGAACAAAGCACCTTTGCAAGAAATCCATACGCAGGAAGATCTTACGTTTTCTCAACACTCATCAATGTAAGCAAAACTTAACACACCTTTCAATATTATTCAAACTGTAAAATTTTCTACTTTCTTAACATGTCTTACTACATAGTTTTATAACATATTTCAAACATATATATAAATTACAGACTCCACTACAAACCAAGATCAAGCATTGAGAGAAAAAATGATGGACAGCCATTTTCGAGAAGCAATGAAAAACAGATATATCCATTTCCCAATCAACCACGACAACCATTGGACAATTGTGGTCTTTGACAATATTGATGGGATATGGAGGCACTATGACTATTTAAGACCAGCAAAAGATTGTCACAACGAACACTTTGAAATTACAAAGGAAATTGTAAGTTAAATAAAATTTCCTACTTAGTTCCATTCCTTTCAAAACATCTCAACACATCACTATAACTAACAAAAACACTCACTAACTATTTTGTAGCAACAACATCAACTAAGATGGAACAAAGCATTATTCAACAATCAAGGAAACATGTTATCATCTCAAGAGTGCGAGAGAGTAATTGCATCAATTGAGGAATGCCCACAACAAACCCCACACTCGTAAAATACAAAATCAATAAACTAATGTTTCAATATGCTAAATTTTGCAGTTTTACCTAACTAATTAACTTCATCTAAAACTTTGCAAGAATGATTGTGTAATCGCCGTCTGCAATGTTATCAACCAATATATCAACTGGAACCTATGCAGAAATCACTTCGACCAACTGAGTGGATCAAATTTCGAGCAGAAATCATCAATCAATTCCTCAATGATAAGAACCAATCTTAGAAACTCGAACACTACTAAATAT